GAGATAAAAAAATTAAGAGTGTGAAAGCAGCCAAAAAGCAAGCCTGGGCCGATTTAGCCTATCACGAAAAAGAAGAATGTGGTAATAATAATCTAACCAAACCGAAAATTGCTGTTTACTTTTCTCCTAATCAAGGAGGAAACGAGCATGCTGACCTTATTTATGTTAATGAGATTGCTAAAAGTTAGATTGCTAAAAGTTGCTTGACAATAGAGCAAGATAACCAAGGAGAAGTTTATCAAGAGCCCATTAATCGAACTTGGTGAGTAATAGGAGGAGTGGGAATATTAGCAGCAGGGATAGGTGCTTTTTTTCTAAATAGAAAAAAAAGGCAGTCAAGTAGCCAGGAAAAGTTTCAAGAAAAACATTAAAAGGTTTAAGACTTTAAGATATAAAAGTATAAATTAGGCAATAGGCGAAGGGTTATTGTTCCTTCTCTGTTTCTTTTTCCAATACTCCAATTCAGTGTTTTATTTTGGTTTTTTCCTGTTCGGTTCGTTCGGGATTTTCTAGTTCTTTTTTTAGTTGGTTAATTTCCTCTTGGGTTTGGGTTTTATTCATAAAGATTATTTAACAACAGCCACAATAATTACCAGTAAAAATTAAGACACTAGTATAAATATCGGCTTTGGGGAAAAAAATATTAAAACCTTCAATTGGGTCCATTTCATATTCTTTTAATAATTCAGTCGTTAAATTGGGCTTTCTTCACTTTTTAGCTAACTCACTAACGGGAATGCTTATCTCTCTCTTATCTTCTAAAAAAGCAGTGATTCTCTCTTCATCAATTTTTAATTTAAGCAATTTGGGATGTTCGTGCTGTTCTTCCCTTGCTTTGGGATTGTAATATTTAACTTGTTCTCTGACATTTTCATTTTGCCTCACTTCCTTCATAATAAGTTATTTTACTTTTTTTTATTGCACCAATCGTTCCAAGCAACCAACCAAACACTTTTCCACTCTTCATAAATAAATGTTTCGTTTTGTTTAACTAATTCCTTAATTTCATTTAAATCGGTGTCTTTAACTTTCCCTTTTGTTTTTACTTTCTGATTATTGGTAGCAAATAAACTAATTCTAACTTTCCCTCTTCTGTCTCGGGTTCAAACATGACAGTGAGGGTCATTAATTTTATTTTGTTCGGATGGAAAATTAGGAGTGCAGATAAATCACCGATATTTATTGCTATTTTTTCCGACTGGATGAATTTCTTTCATCTCGTAAATAATTTCTCCGTTTTCTTTTCTCTTTTTGTTATAAGTATCGATAAAAGAAGGAGCAGGAGCATAAGCATTTAAAGTCTCTGGTTCTTGGTCGTCTTGACCGAACAAAAAACTTAAATCACAATTAGGTTTATTACACCACAAATATTCTCCTTTTTTTAATTCTTTGCCACACCTAATGCATTTTTTCATAAATTATTTTTTTTATTCTAATTCCTCAATCTCGTCCTCTCCTTGTCCCTCG